CTATTTGACCATGTGAACTCCGGGCAAGCTACTCCACTTTTCTTGGTCTTTTTCTGTAAAATTAGAGAGTTGTGGGCAGTGCTCTTTAGCTTCATATAGGAGATGAGGGCTATGACCGGTCTTGGAAGGAAATCAAAGGATTGGTAGAGAAGAGGGGAAGGGATTTCATGGGGTGGGGAGCAGTGTGAATAGAGGCTCAGAGGTATGAATGTGTGACTGTAGTAAAGTGAAAAGGCCCAGTTATAGAAGTCAAGAGGATTAGTGGGAGATAAATCATTTAAGAAAGATGAAGCCACTTCGTCGAGATTATTTTAGTCCTGGGAAGGGCTTTTAGGTTCTTTTTCTGTAGAAACCTGCAGAAAGCAGGACTGAAAATTAGCATTTTGTAGCACGTCATGATGAATGTTAATGAAATTTTTGGCCATGTGAATGTGTCATGGTGACAGTTATCCACAACATGAATTGATTAGTGTGTTAAGGTTTCAGCAAATCATTTCTGCTGCCTGGATGGAGTTTAGAGAGCTAAGTTTGTTTAATTTCCAGTCCTTATCAATTTTAATACATCCCTATTTTCAGATTGCCAGAGATTAGATTTTAAAAGATGTGACTCTCTTCAGCTAGCCAAATTATGGGCTCAGGTAGGAAACGCCATTGTGTGAACAATCTGAGCCTATCTTTGGGCCCTTTTGTTTCTTTAAACATTCTCTAGTACAGTATAGTATAGGTTTTGAGTGCATGCTTGTTTGAGGTGTTCTTTAGTCTTTCTTGAATGCAAAATAAGGGTCTATTTTGGAGGGTCTGATTTATCTACCTTGTAAGGTGCTTAAGAACAGTGGTAGTGTTTAGCTCATGTTAGCAATATCCTTTTATGTATTTTAGTTTTAATATTAGTCTTGGGAATTTTGACATTATTTTCAGGGCTCTCTGTTTCTGTGGTCTAATGTAGGAGAGTGGCAGTTTTGAAAACATTAATCCTCTCACCAAGGTAACTATGAGGAAGAGAGAACCACTAATGTAACCATACCCAACCAAAAGAACTCTTTTGAGAAAAAATTATTACTTTTCTGTGGAGATAGTATCTTATAGTTTTGTCTTGTGTTTAATGAAGGAACATGTCTATAAGATTAAAAGTCTCTGCATTAATTTCCACAGTACAGGGCTGCCAACTTTTATCATTATAATTGACAGCAATATTTGACCCAGTGCTCTAGGGTTTGTTAACATACATTTAAGGTGAATGACTGCTAAGTCTCCATATTATATGAACCTATTAGTATCACAGTCTTTCATGGCTACAGAAAGGTTTGCATAGAATATTAAATAAAGAAGACAAGGACGAGTCTTTGCATCCTCAGGATTCATATGGATCTTAACAAAAACTGTTAGTGACAGTAGGAGGGCCCTATTTTGTATGTTGTTGTTTTTTTTTCTTAACCTCATATACAGCTACCCATAGCTATGGAGTTACTTCAATTCCTTCATTTGGCCATAGAAGCAAAATAATTTTGGACTGTTCCAAAATTATTTCATCATGCTTGCATGGGGACTCCAGAGATATTTTTAGTTGTGATAGTTTTTATGAAGCCTTCCCAGGCATAGAGGTTTCTAGTGATTTTATTATTCTTGTATTTTAAAGAGATGGGAGTTGGCCTTAGTTGGCAGCTCTTTGTATCCGCCAGGGCTTGTTCGTTACTTCTAGGCCCATGGGTGACGTCTGTTTCCTGTGATTGAAACCACAAGAAGAAGTGGTGAGAAGCCACTGTAGGATATGCACTATCGGGCAAGCAGCAGGCATTAGGCTGCCCTAAAAAAGAGCAGTTAGTAACTAAGCACAGTGTTTCAGGGCCTTTGAAGAGACTCTGGAAATGATTTGGCCCAGCCTCTTCATCTTAAAATGAGGAGGACATTGAGGCCTAGAGGTACTAAATTGCTCAAGATCGTGTAATTAGGTGAACTAGCTTTTAGACTTCACTAACTATTCATTGTTCTTTCTCACATTGCATTATCACCCCTAAATTTTGTAACTGTGCCCTCCCAGAATGTTTCCTTAAACAAAGTACTGCTGGAAAAAGAGTAAATGCTGGTGGGAATTTTTAAAATTGGAATTTATTGGGGTGACATTGGCTGGTGTGCATTTTGAATATGAGAATTGGATGATGTTGCTTTTAGTTGCTGTACTAATAATTTTTAATCCTTTTTTTGAAAAGATATATGTAGATTTTCAAAATAAGAATATCTAATAATTCCCTATTTCTATTTTCATTTTACTTAGTACTTGAATATCCTAGTCATTATCTTTATGCACATATATTTTATAATATTGCAATTATAGTTTATACACTTTTTGTTTTTAAAATAGTGTATCATAAACGTTTCCTAGCTTTCTAATCTTTAAAAATTGCTACTTTTATTTGAAATGGAAATGTATTTTTATTATAAAAATGATCACATTTTTTCTAAGAAAATATAAATATGTATAAAAATATAGAAAAACAATCCCCTACCTTGTTTTCCAGAGATTATAGTTATTTTTAAATAGAACCAAAGATAAAAATACATGATATATGGAAGTCTCTTTGGAGTCTAAGTACTTTGGCATGCTATTCTGTATATGTTTGTGTTAGACATAGTTCCATATAAGTATGTTTGCTAGAAGTACTAGAAGGAACTTATTTTCTTTCGTTTATATTACTGGTATTGATGGAGGAGTAATGATATTTCATCCATGCTCTCCCACAACTGAAGATTTTCTCAAAATAAAATCTTCTAGATTTGTAAAAGGTCAGAAAATGTTTACTGTGGTTTCATAAGATCAAATCTGGCTTTTTGAGTAGTAATGTAATATTTGGATCAGTTAAGCTATTATCAGTAGGCTGTGACTATTCCTGGGTGTTCAGGAATAATGTGAAGAGAGAAAAAAAAGGTGTAACCATCATTTAGAAATGAAGGGTTTGAGAATGGGATTTAAAACAAGGTGGCCTCCTATTTGGTGCCTGTAGTAGAAACAGTGTCAGTGCAGGAACTTCCTGTCTACCAGACCTTGGGTGTGACAGACGGGTGGTCCACCCTTAAGGAAGAGTAGATGTCTTGCTACTGACATAACAACATGGGAGAAGCCAGTTGCTACAGAGATTGTGAAACAGCATTCCTGAGTCACTGTTTCCAAATGAATGGACAACACCCGTTTTTAAAGGAGCAATCACCATCTTCTCTAAACTCAGGCAGTAAAGAGAGAAGCTTAGTACGAAAGTAAAGAACAAGTAACAGTATTTGGAGCTTGAGAAATATGTTGAAATTTGGAAAAATAGGTTAACATTAGTTACTAGAGTCCCAGTGCACGAAATTTGCGCACTCGGGGGCAGGGGGTCCCTCAGCCCGGCCTGCACCCTCTTGCAGTCCAGGAGCTCTCGTGGGATTTCTGACTGCTATGGAGGCAGGAGAGGCTCCCACCACTGCCACTGTGCCCAGCCGTGATGAGCCAGGCTTCTGGCTGAGCAGCGCTCCCCTTGTGAGAGTGCACTGACCACGAGGGGGCAGCTCCTGCATTGAGCGTCTGCCCCCTGGTGGTCAGTGCACGTCATAGCGACTGGTCATTCCGCCCTTCGGTCGATTTGCATATTACCCTTTTATTATATAGGATTGCTTTCTATATATGTACTCTAAAGTTTCATCAGAACCGTAGAATGTTTGAAAGGAAGAAAGCTTTGCTTACTGTTCTTTCAACAGATGACAGACTATATGTGCACCTCCTTCCTGACTGCAAAGGAGATGGGCATATCTGCCACACTTTTGATACTTGATAGGAAACTAGGACTTCCAGAATCTGAGCACTTTCTCTACTGGCAGCTTGTTTGTCCAACACATGAGTGCTTACATAGTACAAGGGGCTGGCAGTTTGTTTGGATGGACTAGTAGGAAGAATGCAGTGTTCCCAGCCTGGTTTCCACCTGTTCTGCTGAGCTGGAATAGTGAAACCTGAGTGGACTTTCCTTCTTTACTCTAGGCTATCAGCTATCTAGGATGCAGGCTATGCCAGACCCAGGGCTTTAAGATGAGCTAAGCTGGAGGCAAAACATTCCCCCAAGAGGCTTGCCTTCTTAGACTATTTGAGGATTACTGTATTAAAACATATTTTAGACCTTTCAGAGGATTGAATCCTAATATTCAGATAGTTTTCCCCTCATTTGAATTATAGTCAGGAAATGTGGTTTATTGGAAAACAGACTCTCACAAGTAGTTTTAGACAGTTGTGTAGAAAATTGAGTTTGTTGTTTTTAATTTATAAGGAAATTATTTCAAATCTATAAGTAAATTATTGAAACAGGAAATGGATCATAGTTACCTAATGCTCTTTATATGGCATTTCTAACTTGTGCTTGACATGTGTCACTACTTGGAATTTTTCAGGGCTCCCTGGGTAGTATCAGGAAAAAGATACTGCTTCTGGAAGGCAGAGACAGACTGAAAGAACTCTTTAAGAATAGAAGATCTTAGATTCTCCTCTGCTATGTTCCCTTTGTTTTCTCTTGTGTGAATTCTAACCAGTTTAACTCTCCCTTACTGAGTTTAGCTATGGGGATGCTGAGGCCAGGTGGAAATAAATGAATGAACTACTAGAGTCTGACTTATTCCTTTAGCACATTTTCCTTTGTGATCATGGAGAATATGAGTGTGCTATCCCCATTCCTGGGGACTCAGCAGTTTTCTTTCCCTTAAACACACTTAACTTTATAATGTCAAATCAGCTTTATATGACTTAATATTTTAAAAAGCTTAATATAAATTAGCTTTATATTTCCTGTCATTTTGTGCTTCCCTCTTAGACTTCCTTTCCTCCGACATACTCATTTTCTTTTATTTTTTTTAAGTGGCTGCTTCAGTTCTACACAACTCCTGTTTAGGATGTTGACACCAATAAGTAGTGATGTCAGAATCTATTTTGTTTCTCTGAATGGTAGATGAGATATTGACTCATTCTATGTCATTCTTGGGCCATTCCTTGAAAATGGAAGGGAATGTCTCTACATTTGAAGGTATCCATTACTTCCTTCTCTGTAGTTCTAATTGACTTCTTTACTAGTATAAGGCGTGGGAATTGAAGGGAGACTAGCAAGTTTCATCCTCATGTATTATTTGCCTTTTATAAAGCACTTTGCAAAACAAAGTGCTTTATATCCATTTTATTATTTATTCTCTAGTTCTAGTTACACTAGTCCTATGAGATAGCATAGTCCTAAAGATAGGAAGACTAAAACTGTGATAGATAAAAAGAAAAGCTTACCCTGCCTTTACTGTACTTTAGTAGAAATGTGGCATGCTTTGTGGCATAGCTGGAATAGGAATCATTGGAAATTGAATTCAAGTCCATGTTATGACCTTCTGTTGCCTCACTACCCTAAGGGACTGAATGTCAGTCCTGTGATAGAATAAATAAATGAATCAGAGCCAGACCCTGCTCTCTGTTCTGTATGATTCTGAATACAGATACCTTACCTGGTGTTTCTTGGGTAGGTAGATTAGGATTTGAAGGAAAATTGTCATTGGCTGCAGTGACACTTTCCATTTTAACCATACAGAACCTGTATCTTTACTGAGGATTTATTGCTTTTCAAAGGAGGTGGAAGACTCTCTATGTGATATGTGTCCCCTGATTGGCTATTTTCCCCAAGGACAGCTAACAAATATGTCATGTGGGCTGAAAGACCAATCAGGATCCCCTGCTCTCATTCATAGGGAAAGACATTACTCTTGAAGGTTTGGTCTGATAGTTTCCTGAGCTGTCTGTGACAATCATACTGTACTGTCATAAACCTTGACTTGACACTTTTCCTCAGTTTGCTCAATTTGAATGAATGAGTGAATGAATATATACTATGCTTAAGATGATGCTCCTAAACCTACAGTGATGCTAATTTTAAAAATACTTATTAAATGTTTGGCATATCAAATGAACAAGACAGGGTTTTTGCCCCTGAACAACTTACAATATGGTCCACAGAAACAGTTACAATAAATGGTCTGAAGAAGGATCTGATATAAAATACTTAGAGCCTGGCTTGAGTAAGTGCTTTAGTTCTTTTTGCCAAATGATTGACTATGGTTAAGTGTATAATTTATAGATGAGGAATATCTTTTTTCCTGCCTTATTTTTGGAGTGCAATATCAACTAGTTAAGTCATCAGGTGTGTACTTTACAAGTCTTTCTGTAGTAATAACAGTACAGTTGCCTTTACAGAGTGAGATCTCACCATTCCATTTTATGATCTCAAGAGGTGTGTCTGTTTTTTTTTGTTTTGTTTTAAATACTAGTATATCTTTATTGATTTCAGAGAGGAAGGGAGAGGGAAAGAGAGATAGAAACATCAATGATGAGAGAGAATCATTGATTGGCTTCCTCCTTCACATCCCCTACTGGGGATCAAGCCCACAACCCAGACATGTGCCCTTGGCCAGAATTGAACCTGGGACCCTTTAGTCCGCAGGCCGACGCTCTATCCACTGAGCCAAACAGCTAAGGCTGGTTTTGTTGTTTAATAAATGAATAATTAAAGTGACTAGCTCAAAATCATACCTGTAGTTTTTTAGGATGCCAGGAAAAAACACACACACCCAAATAGGACTCATGTTAGTCAGAGTTCTTTTTCTGTTAGAGTTCTAGATAAATTCTAGTTTTTGTCAGTTTGCTTAATGTATTAGTTTCCTCCTGTTATGTGACAAAATCAACAGCTTAAAACAAAACCTACTAATTAGTTTACAGTTCCAATGGTCAGAAGTCCAACATGGACAGGGTGGCTGGGTTTGCAGTATCACAGGGCTAAAATCAAGGTGTCAGCTGACCCAGTTCTCATCTGCAGGCGTTGGGGGAAAATTTGCTTCTAGGCTCATTCAGGTTGTTGGCAGGATGAAATTCCTAGAAGTTATAGGGCTGAGGTCCCTGTTTCTTTGCTGGCTCTGAACTCTTAGAAGCTGCCTGCAATCTTTGACATTTGGTCCCATTCATACTCAAGCTAGAAGTGAGTGGAACACTGCTAACTCATTGTGTCTCTAATTTCTCCCCCCAAATTTCAAGGGTGCATGTGATTGGGTCAGGCCACGTGGATAATTTTCCCTTTCTTAAAAGTCAGTTGTGCCAAATAACTACTCATAAGAGTGATAGCCTATCATATTTCCAGTCCTGATAATTATGCAGGGTGAATACATCAGCCTAGGAATCTTGGGAGACGTCTTAGAATTCTACCTACCACACTAAACGTTTCCCTTACACTGAGTTAGCCCATGGAGCAACTGGGTGGGTGTCAGAAGAGCAAGAGGTAGGAATTGAGTATTCTGAGGCAGTTACTGAATTGCATTGTGATTATCCTATATAATAAAAGCCTAATATGCTAAGTGTCCTGTCGGCCGGTTGGCCATTCAACCAATTAAAGTGTAATATGCTAATAATATTCTAAGGCCGCTTAGCCGCTCGCTATGACATGCATGACCACCAGGGGCCATTCAGTTGACTGGTTGACCAGTGGCTATGATGTGCACTGATTACCAGGGGGCAGATAGTACCAGTCAACCAGTCACTATGACATGCACTGACCACCAGGGGGCAGACGTTCCAATCCGTAGGTTAGCTTGCTGCTGGGGTCTGGCTGATCGGGACTGAGGGAGATGGGCCGGACATGCCTGGGAGCCCTCCCACGGTCCCTCCCTAGCTGGCCAGTCTCCTGCATCCCTCCCCAGCCCCAATCGTGCACTGGTGGGGGTCCCTCAGCCTGGCCTACACCCTCTCACAATCTGGGACCCTTTGGGGGATGTCAGAGAGGCGGTTTCGGCCGATGGCAGAATGACCGGTCACTATGACTTGCACTGACCACCAGGGGGAAGACGCTCAACAAAGGAGCTGCCCCTGGTGGTCAGTACGCTCCCACAGGGGGAGTGCCGCTCAGCCAGAAGCTGGGATCACGGCTGGTGAGCGCAGCAGCGGTGGCGGAGCCTCTCCTGCCTCCATGGCAGCACTAAGGATGCCTGACTGATGGCTTAGGCCTGCTCCCTGTGGGGATTGGGCCTAAGCCGTCAGTTGGACATCCGCTGAGGGCTCTCAGACTGCGAGAGGACACAGGCTAACCACCAGGGGGCAGACGTTCCAATCCGTAGGTTAGCTTGCTGCTGGGGTCTGGCTGATCGAGACTGAGCGAGACGGGCTGGACATGCCTGGGAGCCCTCCCACGGTCCCTCCCTAGCTGGCCAGTCTCCTGCATCCCTCCCCAGCCCCAATCGTGCACTGGTGGGGGTCCCTCAGCCTGGCCTACGCCCTCTCACAATCTGGGACCCTTTGGGGGATGTCAGAGAGGTGGTTTCGGCCGATGGCAGAATGACCGGTCACTATGACTTGCACTGACCACCAGGGGGAAGACGCTCAACAAAGGAGCTGCCCCTGGTGGTCAGTACGCTCCCACAGGGGGAGTGCCGCTCAGCCAGAAGCTGGGATCACGGCTGGTGAGCGCAGCAGCGGTGGCGGAGCCTCTCCTGCCTCCATGGCAGCACTAAGGATGCCTGACTGATGGCTTAGGCCTGCCTGTGGGGATGAGCGGGCCTAAGCCAGCAGGTGGACATCCTCCGAGGGGTCCCAGACTGCGAGAGGGCATAGGCTGGGCTGAGGGATCCCCCCTCCCCCCGAGAGCACGAATTTCGTGCACTGGGCCTTTAGTAGGTATTATAAGGCAAGGGGATCTGTGGCCTCCCAGAATCATCAGAGTAGGGGCCAGGTGGCATTCCTTCATGGTGTTCTCTTGATATTTACTTAGTCAAGAGCTCAAATATAGTTGTAGTCCTGTATAAGTTAGCCTGAACATAACCTTAGAAACTGCTGAGATATAGGCTTATAGTTGTAGGTTTCTGTTACCCATGTGCTAGTCACATGTCTTGTGGGATTGTTGTCCATGATTAACTGTTCTTGTGGTAGGAGTTAGAAACACTTTTTGCTATGTAATATGTACTCTGTTCAGAATAATGATTAATTATATTCTCTTATTAGATCCTTTCTAACCTCTTTGCTGCTAAGGATACTATCTAATTACCTTTGTTTGGTTACATAAATATCTTGTGCCGAGAGATCATACTTAATTGTCTGATAATTCTGTGCCCTTTTTTTTTGACTGGAGGGAAAAGTTAAAGATTCAGGGAATTGGGTAGAGATGAATCAGTCCCTTGTATGAATTTTCTTACATCCTTGGGTTTATAATAGGTCTAATTCTGTTACTTGGCAAACATAGGGAACCTCTGTTCAAAAGACTGTTTAGTCCCATTGGCCCACTTTTTAATATATTTTTATTGATTTCAGAGAGGGAGAGGGAGAGAGAGATAGAAACATCAATGATGAGAGAGAATCATTGATTGGCTACCTCCTGCAGGCCCCTAAGGCTGACTCTCTATCCACTGAACCAACTTTTTAAAAGTTGAAGTATTAATAGATACACCATCATCACCACTGCAATAAATCCAGTTATGGAAAGGAAGTTTTATAGTTCATTTGCATTTAATATAATTGATCAGAATGTGTTAAAACTCATTAAGTCATTTACTTTAATTAGTTTGGCCTCATATGGCATACCTTAGGATCTTTTGACTTTTTAATTTTTATTTTCTTAAAGAAACCAAACTGTAAAGTATCTAGGAGGTTTCTTATTTCCTGAAGATTGGTAAGCAAAAGATTTATCTTGCCACATATTACATTAGGATGTGGTGACTGAATCAGAGCCTTGAATTACTCTGGAAGTCAAGTTAAGAATACAGCTTTTTATTTTTATGTTGATTGATGGTCTTATTGCAGAGCATACCCAGCCAAGTGTATTTATTTTTGATGCTGTTACTTTTGATGCAATATACCTTTGAGTAATTTGATAAAATATGATTTGGTAATACTAAGAATCTTTTGGAGAAGATGAAGCTCATTTTATTAAACTCAATTTTGTTAAGCTCCTTTCTTGTACCAGCTAATGATATTTAGAAATTTATTTACCCATTAATTCTGTTGAATAAAAAATTC